AAGCATGTGTTGGAATAAATTTACAACAATGATCAAGTTAAAAAAACCTAAAAATTAAGACAACAATTAAAAAAGGAAAATTATAGTAAACTTTTAAATTTTCTTTTAGTTTGCTACGCCCTTCTTTTTTGTATTTTGAAATATCCAATTTGGAAATTATTTATTAAATATTTTTACTGCCACTAATTTTTGTTCATTATTTTCATTTAAATTAGCTTCTTGAACTTGGCCACTTGAATTTATTTGTGGAAATATTTTGTTGAAACTTGATGATGATTACCCCTCCAAAAAATTGAATGTTATCTCTCTGTGTGGCATAAAGGCATCCTTTTTTTGTCAATTTCAGAGCGGAAATAGGTTCGGATCGAATGAGTCAAGGGTCTCTGACCTATCTCTCTGACATCACTTGATAAACCAACACTGCCTTTTTTCATGCTCTCCCATGATAATGTAATATAAAATGCAGCGCACGATACGGCACCCTTTTTATTATGTATGGACCCGAGATTTTGCATAAATATAACGTGCATTATATGCCATGGTGGTTATCAGAACGAGAGAGCAGTACACTTTTTTGTGCCTAGTTTGGCAATTTTAATAAAAATGCTGCTCGTCCCATTTATCTAATCTACACCAACGCAGCGGCCGAATATTGCAGCTCTCTCTTGCAGGGTATTAAAAAGGCAAAACAAAGCGTTGGGGCGTTCTTTTTATTGCCAACATCATAAAATATTTTACGCGCGAAAAGTGGAGGCTGCTGGCTCGCATTTATCCCCAACATTTGGCCCATCCACGCCTCTTTTCCCTCTTTGCCTCTTTTTACGAGAAAGTGAATGATCGGCCCGGGTGTTTTGCATCCGCGTCGCTCCACGGCAGCAGATATTGAGGAGAGAAAAGCAATAAAATTGGCCCATTTTTCGGATTCCAGCCGTGTGTGAGTTTGAGCAGATCTTTCTTTCTTTCTCCTTCAGGGAGCAATGTTGACGGGCTGTTTCTTTGAGCGTTTTTACACCTGTTTATCTCCTTTCTGGGAGGATTTGCCTGCCTCGCTTGTCGAGATCCAAACCTCAAATACGGATAGACAGAGAGCCTTCTGCGAATTTTCCCTCTTGCTCTCACAAACACACAAACATGCATTCCATTCTGCTTGGAAAGTTTTGATGTGTCGCACAATATTGTCGGCGTGCAAGACGCGCGATGAGAGAAGCAACTTTTGCACAAAGAGAAAGAGGAAGGGTTGTCTCTTTTCCAAGTGGTTTGTTGCTCCACGGGATTTGCCCCGGACTAATCCTATTTGCTGCGGTTTCGAGCAAGTCAAGTTTTGCGACTTTGATGGGATTTTGTGTTCTTATAATTAATTTTAGTAATTTCTTTCCACTTTAATTTTCATTATTATTATTCTATCACTTAAAACAATTCTTAATAAAGAATTTAAAGAAAATGATTATATAATTCTGGATATAATCAACCCTTAATTATTCTTTATATATTATTATAAAATTAAAAGTTACTTAAATTTATGGCATTTCTGAAATGTTAATATATACAAATTTTTGGAAAATAAATCCAGACAAATTTTGAAGAAGCCGAGTCATGAATTATGAATCTACTGCTCCATTTCCATATTACGTACATAGTAGCGCAGAAAAATAAGACCCGCGGCGGTGCTCGTCTAGTTGCGCTCACTCGCGTTTCGTGCTTTTTGCATCATGCAGATTTGATGGCGCAAAGTTTCCTCGCAAAATTTGCGGCACAGAGACAACAGAGGAAGGCAGAACACGCTCTTGCCTCGCAGTCTCAACATGCATAATTGAATCATTATGTGCGCGCAGCTCGGAGGCAAGAACAAAGCAACTCGAAGAAAGGGTTCGTGTGCGGAGGAAATATCATACAAGCAGAACAGAGAATTACATTCGCTCTCTCGCTTTGATTTGTAGCCTACGGGGTGCGATATGGAGTGCGCGCCTGCCTAGCTATGCAACCTGCACGGCTTATTTCCTCGTTTCGCCTAGTTTGCATGCAGCGCGCGGATAAATTTTTCACCGCTCGGCAAACGGCCGCATCAAACATAAAACAAAGTGACTTCTGATAAAGTGCCCTCTGGGCCTGGTGCAGCAGCATAACACACTGGCCAGATTTACAACTCAATTTCCACCAGCGCGTCTCTGCATCATTCATCCATCTGTGCTGCTTTTGGCGAATGTATGTTTTGCTCGCAGCACTCTTGGATACTTTCCAGCCTAACTGGGTGCAAATGAAACGAGAGACCGTTTTCCGCGCTGCCGAGTAAAAAAGAGCGCGGTTTTTATATTTTTTGAGTAATTGCAGATTCCCGCTTGGAGGAATGGGTTGCGTATAATTATCATGAAACGAGTTTCGCCCGCGCCCGAATTTGTAATCAAAACTTGGGCGAATCGTCAAGAGAGCAAGCCGAATAAATACTTGTGGCGTGATACTCTTGGGTGATGAGATTTCCAACCCCGGGGTGCTGAAATAAAACAAGACCCGCCGTCGACGCTGCTGTCAGCGGAAACACATTTCTTGTATTTGTTTTCACTCTCTTGGCTCCAATTCGGAGAGATTACGTTGTGGGTGCTCTTTGAGATCGCATTTCCATTTCGCCACGCAAATTGAAATTTTATCTCATTTTGCGTGGCAAGCAAAGTTAAACAACAAAATTTCAGGGGCCACTGCTTGACAGGGTTCACTGGCTTGCGGACCAGTTGCACGCCTCTCCTGGGACTTGTCTTCTCGCTTGTAAATATGCTACCCATGCATGAAGCAAAACACACATCCTTGGAAACGTACAGCTCCAGGAAATGCAGGACGACACGTGGCAGACGTTTATTCTAGTTTATTCGATGGGATGGGCTTCTGTAAAAGTTAAGGAAGGTTAAGCAAATATTCGTAAAGACAGAAACATGATGCGTAAAGGGAACTATTTGTAGCAAAATTGAATTTGTCTAAAAATAGAACAATTTCCAAAAATTTTATATTGTGATGTATTACCGAATAGGAAAAATTGACGGATCATTGAGACGATAAATTTCAAATAGTCTTTTTTAATATAAGTTTTAGTGATTTAAAAATAAACACTAAGTTATACAATGTTCTTTTACGAAACTCTCCTTAAGTTTTAAAATGAAGCTCTTGAAAGTGGTTATTTATATTTCATTTTCGTGATTTGAGAAGGAAGCTGTGTATATCTGTGTATTTTTTCCTTACCAAGGGCAATTAACAAACTTATAATTAGAAGAATTTGCTTCCAAGGCAATCGGTTTACATCCCCACAAATTATTTCCTCACAAGGCCAAACTTTTAACAAAATAATAACAGGGCGGAGAGTAAAGATAAGCGAGAGAGAGAGTGTGCGGTTTTGACGAAGCGAGTTGGCATAGAAGAGCGCCAAATTTCGCAGAATGCGACCAAGTTTTGCACGAAAGTAATAACCCTGCTATAGAGTTAATTACGCACTGCCTGGCGTTTCTTTGCCTCCTCCGTCCTTTTGGTGAAAAGAGAAGGAGAATATATAACCCGAAAGTTTTTGCGCTCGCGAATGAAAAAGCAGCGCCGTCTCGTGATGCGACCGTCGGTCTTTCTCTCTCATTGTCAGTGTCTGATGAAACAAGAGGGCTGTATGTATTTCAGCGCAGGAACAATGAAACTTTGTACGTTCGGGCTGCTCTGCAGAGAACACATTCACGGCGACAAACTCTATAGCCGAGCACAGCTAGGGCCTCTTTTATCTTTCATCTGGGCGTTTAAGATTTCATCGCGGCGGCCAGAGTAGGTTTCGGTTGCCTCACCGTCGGCGGTGGCAAGTTGATTTTTAACCCCCTCCTGGCCCGCCCGCTCGCGCCGAGCTTTTGGTTTTAATTACTCTCGGCTGTTCAGTCAGTCGTTGTTTTTTGACAGTGAGAGGTGCGCGCGTCCCGGCTTAATTCGGCCTGATAAAGGCGAGGATTTAATTACCGGGGTTTCTTTCCGGCCCTTTTATCTCATTGAACGCTAATTTGGACTGAAATGTTTTCACTCTCGGGCATAATTACGCGACGCTCCGAAAGCTTTTGTCCTCTGCTGCCATGAATTAAGTAAATTTGGAACCTTTTTGTTTTAGACGTGTGCAATCCCAAACGGAAGAATATGCTTGTAATGTAAAATTTTACACTTTGATGAGGTCATAAAAACATTCTTGCTGAAGTTGAAATGTTAAGAATATCACGTTACTTGAAAATGTCACCGATTAATATAGATATAATTACATGATATTATCTTTTCCAGCTGCTCTATTTATTTATTTATTATTATTTTTTTTTTTATTAAATCTGAACTATTTGAAGACATGACTATTTTAAATAAATTAATAAGGACAAACCATATTCACTGATCATTTTAGATTTATTATTTTTTTTTTACCTAATTTCAAATATTGCAGAATTGAAAGACATCAAAAAGTTTCTTTTAAATCAAACCCAATAAACATCCCTTTTGCAATTTTATAACAGTTCAAATTGTTCGGACGTTGATGAATACAAAATTTTAATCGCTGTTTGCCATTCTATTCTGCAGTCTATTTAAAAAGTAAATTGTCGCTCTTCCTCAAAGCCTGTTTTATTAAATAATCTCGGAAATTTTTTTAAAGGTGGAAAAATTGGCCCTTGTACCGTTTAACGCAATTTTCATTAACCTTTGTGCTTTAAACCATATTCCACGAATTTCCGCTGCCCGGGAGCGCAAAACCCCTGCTAATGAGCTTTTCCAGATTAGACTCTCGCAAATCCTTTCATCGTCGGAGGTAAACAAGAGCAAGCACGGCGCCGTAAACAAAATGTGACCGGCAAAAAAGCTCATTAGCTGCACGTCGGCGTACTGCTGTAATTCCTAAGTGATCGCAGATAAACAAAGTTGTTACCGGGCGACCCCAATTAGCCAAGAGGGAGCTGGTCTTTCTCTCTCTACCTATGCCTATCTCTCTAACAAGTCGTTTTTGCGTGTTGCAGGTACGTGTGTCTTGGACGGGCCTGTTTTCCCCGCCGACCGACTGCAGAGCAGCGAGAAGAGACACGCACATTACGCCCTGATGCCTGTGGTGCCTGATGCGGTGGAAATTCTCTTAGCATCAGCAATAATGTTCTTTGGTGTGTGTGCCTTGATTAAATTAAGGTAAGGCACCTCGCGTGGCCGCCCGTGTGTTCAAAGTGTGCGTCGCCTTAAGTGCTCCTCCGCGGGCCCCTCTCTCTGCTCGTCTACCCTCGGCCGCTCAAGTGGAAGATCAATACGCGGAAGACTTAATTCGAGGTGTCGTGACCTCGAGTCGAAACCGGAGAGGCCGTCTGGGAATAATTTCGGATTGTTTAGACTCGAGACTCGCGAATTTGCATCTCGAGGGCCGTGCCAGTTACAAGGGAAGCGGCTTAAGACAAATTCCTACACCTTAATCCTCCGGGAGGCGAAAGAAAAATGCTCGGCTTGACGGAAAGTTTCGTCGGCTTAGTTAAAATTTAGCACCTTCGTTTACACTGGCTGTAAATTTATTTTTTAACTTGAAAAGAGGTTCAATTGAAAAAAGTTTAAAAGACATTTTTAATTTGGCAAACCTCGAGGGAAAAGCTCTTTTTTTATACTTTCAAAGAGTAGACAAATAAACGGCATGCAAATTATTTCTCTTGTTCTTTGAGACTGCTTGTCACGAAAACCGTTTTGCTTTTTCTCCTTCTGCTGTGTGAACTTCAAAGCTCTGTACTTTCTCCGGCGCATTCAAAGAGATATCTGGAGCAAGAGAAAAATCGAAACAATCGTCAAACGAAGCCGCAGCCTAAACGGCCACATTATGTTTATGGCCGCGTATCGAAGCATGGGATTCATTGTCTCCAACCGTCCTTTTTGTGGCAATCTTTATTAGGAGCCATCTCGCGTCGGCATAAAAATACATACGGATAAGGCTCGTAAATTATTTTTTCCCACTTGTGACCCTTTGATAAGTTCCAAGCGCGAGTCCAATAAGGTTTTATGCGCGTCATTGTGTCGCGTTTTACGACGCAGTCTAGTGCATACCAGCCGCGCGTATATGCATTTCGAACCGAGTAATTCCAGCCTCAAATGTGCATGCTAGGGAATAATGCGTTATTGGAACGAATTGGGTTTATTGCGCGCTCGCTAGCTGCACTAATGTTTCGGAACAAGTTGTACAGACGCGCATCTGTTCGTCGTCGCCGAGGAGGAATTCGAATAAGTTGGAATGGTGATAAATGAATGGTGGTACAAAACGGGAAGGGATTCTTTCCTACACTTACCGCTCTTTGACACCACGCTTCGGGGAATGCCGCACATCTGTCTGTTGATAAATCAAACGCTGCTGGCTCTTCAGGGAAGAGGAGGACTATTTTTTATTTCAAAATCCGCGTGCAATAAAATTTTACAACTTCCAGTTAGCTGTGCCAAAGTGCATCAGTTGGGACAAGTTCAACGGAAATAGAATGCGTTTATCTTTTTGTGTAACTTTTTTAAATTTATACTTTTGTAAAAAAAATTTATCTCAAAATATATTATTTTTATTTTTGGAATTAACTATTATTATAAGTATTTAGTTTGTATCAATTTTATTGATATATTTTATTTTGCAATTTATTCCTGTAAAAATAGATATTAAAACTAATTTTTTGTTTCATAATTTTTTTACTAATGGTAGTAAAATTTTATTTTTCAAATCCTATTTATACTAGAGAATTGGTCAACATACTTCATTAGACTTTAGTACATTCTATCTGTACCAAGTATTTGAAAACTAATAATTCTATAAAATACCATTTTTTTCTGATTTAAGTGAGCTAAATTTATTTTCTTACGTCCATCTGAAAAATATATGAATTATAAAAGAATTTAACATACAAAAATCATAATCTCTTTAAAATAGATCTATTTGTACCGACTTAATCAATGAAATGTCCGCTTATTTCTCATCATTTTGAAGCAATTGCTAATGAGAATGACGTATGGGAGTGTTTCATGCCGCAATATTTGGAGCGGGGTGAATTTACATCTGCAATTGTAGAGCGCAGTGCTCTCAGAGGAACCACTAGATTTAGCTCTGCGTGCTTCGCTGTGTTTTTCCCGCCGTGAATTTATAGATTAAAAAGGAAAATGCGATTTCTCACAGCAACTCCCCAAACACCAGGCGAGCGCTTACGCCGGCATGTTTACTCTGCTCCGGCAAAACGCAAAACGGCACGCTCTTTTTTTGCAAACAGAGAGAGAGAGAGAGAGAGAGAGAGAGAGAGAGGAAAAGCCTGAATGTGCCGGTGGAGAGAACGCGTGCGGCGGGTACATTATTAATTGCAGCGCTAATTCCGATAAGCTCTGGAGACGTTTGCTCAGGCAGCGGATGAGAGCCAGGTGTATTACACGCCCGACTGGTGTAATTCCATTGTTAAACAACCCGCCAGAGCTGCATTCTGCGACGACCGGAGAGGAATGATTGCGATGGGAATCTCTATCGGAAAAGCTCGAGTCGTTGCGTGCATCCACTTAAGCATCGCATCATGTGTGTGAGTGTGTCTGCAGCTCGGGCCTTACCTGCGTTCAATACGGATCGTCGTCCGCTGGGAAATATGCACGAGCAAGCGTTTCGCAATTTTCCGTTCCATTATTTACTGTTTGCCGGCAGTTCTCCGATAATCGCACTGGGCATTTATGAATAAAAAAGGAAGCTTTGCAACGGCACGAAGGGGGCGGATTGAGGACGAGATGATTGCGACACATTTCATATTGAAATCGTTTTAAGCCACGATTTCCTTAGCGATGCACCCCAATTACCACTAGAGATGATATAGGCGCAGAAACTAAAAAAATAAAATTAGATGAGTTCATTAGTTAAGATAGGTATGAATTTCTCCATTTTTTATTATATTGAAATTTTTTATTATTTTAATTATTATTTTTATTTGTTTGTCTACGTTGTTGCAATACATTGTTTACAAAGGAATGAAAAAGCGGCACCACCACTAGCAAGAATTTTGCTAAAACTTCCGAGCATCATCCACAGCATTAATGTATAATATTAATTAATTTTAATAATTTGAATGAGAATCGATTATTAAAAAATTCAATTCATCGTTTTTTTTTTGCGTCAAACAAAAACAACTTGGCGTGAAATTTTTAATTTAAAAATTTGATTAAAGACACTTCTGCTTTCTCTCAAAGGCTTAAATCATTGTTGATTAAATGCTTTCAAGCGTTATAATTAAGTAAGAACTTTCCAAATTTTGAAGTTCTTCTTTCAAGAGCCAGAATCCAATTTTATACGAGAATAAAATAATTAATTAATTATTTTTAACTTATTCCAGTCAAAGTAGCTTTTCCTCGAGCGGATCAGGCGAAGCGCACGGATTCCGCCTGTTAACCTGCTTATCTCGACACAGGAAAAAATCTGAAACAAGGACCCTGTTGACCTTTGTAAAGAGCCTTTCGCTGCTGTGCTGTTTTTCGCAACTCCAGCTGCCGGCACACAGAAAGAGAGGCGAGCGACTCTTTCAGCCCGAGTGCATGCAGATGTGGCCCTCACTCTTTTGATGTGAAAGGCCCCATTGTAATCACGCTAGCTCGCTCGCCCGTCTCTCGTTTTAAAAAGGCTACTGCCGATTTGATAAGAGGCGCAGGCAGGTCACTCACATGCAGAGACTCATTACGAGAAACTCTCGCATTTCACGCGCCAATGCAGAATTCCATTAGGGAGAACAATGCCGAATTAAATTTTTATTTGGAGAGAGAGAAAGTGCGGGAAACTCGACGCAGCATTTCCTTCCGACCGACGCGGCGGAAAGTTGTTATTGAATTAAATTCGCCCGTACGCCAATTTATGTAAAATTTACTTTGCAAAACCAACACAGCCGGAGAATGAGCAAGTTTTGCCGGCGCCGCCTGGAATTATACACACACTTTCTCCGGCGGAACGAACGAACGAACGCAGCCGAGGGTTGGAAAACTTTAGCTCTGCGGCGGCCACCGTGGAATATAAAACTTAATCAAGATTTCATGCAGCGTAGTGAGCATTCTAATTTGCTAAATATTCAATTCCATTTATACCCCTTATGCAGTTGGAACAGACATGTAGCAATTATCAGCTGTGAGGTCACAAATTATAAATAAATTCACATTCCGTCTTCCAACTCCAAAAATAATTTTATTTGACTAGCATGATTCTGAGAATATAATAAATATTGATCAAAATTAGATTGAGAAAAAAATTGGACCCTGCATTTTTACAAGGCAGTCTCAAAAAGTTTAATAGAAAAAATTAAACAAAATCTTTTAAAGAACATTTTTCACAAATTTTTGCAGAATTTATTGTTCAAAATGTGTATTAAATATCTATATTTATTATTTTTTTTAATTATTTAAACCTCTGCTCATAGTGCAATAACCATTTTATGAAAAGACTAAAGAATGAATAGCTAATAATTGCAAAAATGTCAACTAGACCCTACACCCCTTTTCTTTTGAAACCAAAGCGCGTATCCTTAACTCTCCTTTCACGCACAAAATGCAGCGTTCTCGCGCCCTTGTGAAGGAAAGGCTTTTTCAAAGCTATTTTTCCAACATAGTCGGCAAAGGGCGTTGTGTTTGTTGCGCATCACCGCGTCATTTGCAGGGGTATTTTCGCCAGAAGTGAGTGGCTTAATGAATATGCGCCTCGCCTTTTTCCGCGCGTCATATACTCAAAGTGCTCTTTCTGTCTATCCCTCGCAGGGCACAGCGCAGAGATTACCTTTTGCTCGCAATAATGAGCGGCGTGCACTCGGCAGCAGCTTGCAAGCAGGCAGCACGCTTCACAAGATCCTCATTACTCTCGGTGCACAAGAGCAAAAATATTAATTCAAATTACTATATATCCTGCTGCCTGCCACTCTCGAGAGCGGCGGCTAGAATTTTATTTTAATTAAGCCGCCGGCAGTCACGTTTTCTAATTAAGACGACTGCAGCATAAAATCTCTCGCCGAATGCGTTGCTATTTTTCGTTTCCGCACGCTCGGGCTGCTTGAATGGCCCAACTTGAGTTGGATTGTGACGCGTGCTTTCAAGCTCAACTGGATTCGCATACAGCTCATTCGCAATGCAGCCACAAAAAAAAATGTTGGATTTTACGCTAACAATAAATTAAAAATAAA